AAGGTGCCTGATACATTATAGTTCACTTAATAAATGCTTATTGATTGTTTGATAGAATACAGTGAAACTTAGGAAGATTTGCAGGACCTCTTTCAAAGTGAACTAAATAGAACTGGAAAACGGTACCCACACTGATGACAACAACATTGAAACTGAGATGATAATGGCTACTTTTGTCCTCCTAAAAGAGATAAGAAAATCCCCTCCCCACCCTTCCTTTCTTTGAAGAGGTGCCAAATGATGGGTGTGAAACACTGCCCATAATAATGCTGGGTTTGGGTGATATGTCAATAGGTTTTGTAGAAGTGATTTGTTTTTTCATTTTTATTCTCTGTTCCAGGGGTTGGCTGTCTGAGAAGAAGAGGGGATGGTGCAGCCTGGAAAATAAAGGCGATATAGAAACAAATATTAATACCTTAAAAAATATAAAGCCCTCTCTAAACATTAACTGTTATTTGTAATAAAGTTGAGGCAATGTGTTTTAATGCGAGTTACAATAGCTGACTTTTGTATAGTGCTTTAAGGTTTAAAAAGTGCTTTACATAAGCCGTTTCATTTCTTCCTTGGAAACAATTTCATCAGGGAAGAACTACTGGTATTATCATCCCCATTTTGCAGATGAGGAAAGTGAGGCTTAGAGAGGGTAAGTGATTTGCCCATGCAGTCACAAAGCTGGTAAGTGTCAGCAGTGAGGCTCCAAAACTAGGTTTCTCCTCACTCCCAGACCTAGCATGCTTTTTACTCCTCCATGCTTCCTCTCACAATTGCACGTCAGCAATTGTAGGTTCTAGAACTCTTTAAACTTTCCACATGGCCCTGAGCAGACCATTAACCTCTCTGGATAGTTCTCACTTCCCTAGTCTTTGAAACTGAGCTGTCAGACTAGATCTTGAATGACCTGTAAGGCTTTAAAATCCTATGATTCTAAAAGTGTTGAATCCAGTAGGACTGATGTGATAGTTTTGATACCTCTAGGCTTTTGCACTTCTAGATTTTCAAAGCTCGTTTTGCATGGAGTTTTTGAGGTGCGGCTTTGCACAGCCAGAGGCAGACGAAGATGTATGCTGTAGTTTATGCTTCCCTTATTTAGGGATTGAGGGACAACAGGGTATAAAAAGTCAACTCATAGAAATAATTTTGAAAAACTTCTTAGAGGCTCATAATTTTGCATAAGAAAAAGGTCATAGTAACCCTTATTTGTTATTCATGATTGATCTATATACTGCTCAATAAACATCAAACACCACGATTGTCTCTTTCCTGGAAGACCTGCATTCATTTCTGTATGTCACTTAATCTCTTGGGATGCCGCACAGTGCAGTGAAAAGAACCACGAACTCGGAGTTAGCAGATTGTAGGTTTGAATTCCAGCTCTGCAATTACTAGCTGTGTGGACTCAAGCAAGTTACTTAACCTCTCTGGGGTTCAGTTTCCTCATCTGTAAAAAGAGGGGATTGGACTAGGTGACATCTAAGTTTCCCTCTTACCTCTAGACATAAGAAACTACATGCTGTTGTTCAGTCTTTTCAGTCGTATCCGATTTTGTGACTCAATTGGGATTTTCTTAGCAAAGATACTGGAGTGGTCATTTCCTTCTCCAGCTCATTTTACAGATGAGGAAACTGAGGCAAACAGGGTTAAGTGATTTGTCCAGGGTGACCCAGCTAGTAAGTGTCTGAAACCAGATTTGAACTCAGGTCTTCTATACTCCAGCCTTAAATCATTGAATTACTGAAAGGGTGTTGCCTCAGACAAACTGAACCTGGGGAAGACCTTAGCTTAAAAAGGCCAGGATTTCCCCACTGCGTCTGGGGCCATTGCCAGTCATCCTGACGTATGCCTTGCCACTGGATTCATGACTCTGGAGGAGAAAGTGAGACTGATGACTTTGCACAGCCCTGCCTCACTTAAATCCAACTCACTTGCAAGTCAAGACTTCACCCCCCTGATGTCATTGGTCCTCTTCAAGAGCAAATTATGAGCAACAATGCCCTCTCTCCACTGCACCACCTAGCTGCCTGTACTAAACATATTATGCTATTTTTCTAAATCCACCCAGACAGGAGATCTGATCCCATTCATGGTCTTAATTGCTATTTATGAGAAGTGTTGAAGAGACACAAGGTGGAATGGTGGTGACAGGAATGCATTTGGAGCCAGAGAACACTGGATTCCAGTTCTCTTTCACATACTACCTGTATGACCTTGGGCATATCAGATAACCTCTCAGGGCCTCACCTGAAAATGAGGAGGATATAACAGATATTTGGGGCAGCTGGTCAGTGCAGTGGAAAGAGTGCTGGGCTTGGAGTCAGGAGAACTCATCTTCCTGAGTTCAGATCCAACCTCAGACCATTAGTACCTGGGTGACCCTGGGTAAGTCATTTAACCCTGTTTGCCTCAGTTTCCTCATCTGTAAAAGGAGCTAAAGAAGGAAATGGCAAACCACTCTAGTATTTCTTCCAAGAAAACCCCAAATGGGGTCATGAAGAGAGACATGACTGAACAACAATATTAGATATTTTCCAAAGTCCCTTCCACCTCTGTGATCCTATTCAGTCTGATCCTATGGAGGTGAAGAATAGTTCTGATGTCCAAATATTTGAAATTGTTAGGAACACTAAGACACATGTATTATAAAATCCCCAATTGAGAAAGCTAACAATACTGCTTTAAAGAGGGACTAGCCAGCCGATAATCTACACTAAACCGTAGGACCAAATGCTTCTGTTGCTGGGGTATTTCTGGGTAATAACAGAGAACATTAGACTTAGACTTTCTGTGAGCCACCCATTTTTTTTTCACTGCGTCATGATATTTAGCAAAGTAAGCAGTCAGTTAACTTTCAAGTTAAGTTGGGCCAGGACAACACAGGAAAAAAAAAACAACAACAAAAGCACACTACAGATACCATCAGTCAAAGTCACCAAAATTATCCTGCTGACATCTTAGCCGTACTCTGGGGCTTCAAATCCCTCAAAAATAAGAGGCAAGAAAAGGGCAAGATGGAAGAAATAAAGCACTTCCCTTAAAAAAATCATAGTTGTTGAGATAATGAGCTTAAAATAAAGCAGGCAGACAGAAAGAAGGCTAGCAAAAGGAGATCTTTATTGCTGATATATGCATGTCTTGAGAGAGAAAACAGGTTCCTGTGTTTCTACATTTAGTAACTTTAAACAGAACAAAAAAAATCTAGTCTCCTCAATTAGAAAGGAATGCCTCTGTATCCCCACCCTTCCTGAAAACAACAGTTTCAGAAATTAGTGTAATGATGAATCGGGCCCTTGAAACTGTTCATAAATGTGTTTTGAGGTTTGCATTTTCTTGTAAAAATCACCTATCCAGGTACAGCTGCTTAGCATACTCTTTGCTTACTAGTGATGCTGAAAGGATATTGTTGGAATCCCGCTGTTGCTCTGGCAGTTAACACAATTCCAAGGTTGGGATTTTTGCTGGTGAATAGAGTTACATGACACTTAATCAAGGTGGATTGGTTAAAGCGGATTTTAAAGAAATCTCTTAGGTGATTGCATGATGGTTGCCTTGGTCTAGACCATTGTGATTTTCTGCTCTTCCCCTTTGGCTTCACACTAGAGTACTTCTAGAATTCTTACCCAGCCTTTCAATAACACCTCAGTGATCTGGAAGGGCTTTCTGGGTAATTAGCATGCAAATGTGCATTTCAATGTGTGATCATAGACAAGCTATCATGCTCCTGCTGAGAAATTGATTTTGTTAGCAGGCCTGGGAAGGTGTGTTTTTCATTTAGACATGCTTGTGTGACTATGAACACAAAAGGGAAATTCCACATAGGCAAGAATTGATACGGAAGAATGCTCTGGATGACAACCACACTACCAGATAGTTCGGCTCTTTGGCCATTGGTTTTTATTCTGGTGAAGGTGTGGATTACACAGAGGAAGAGTGTTTGGAAGTAATTTATAGTTTTTCTCTTAATTTAAAATGTTGTGTTTTTGTTTTAAAGAATTTCTTCTATTATATTTGACTAGAGGAGAAAGAATATGGCAAATATTCACCTGACTTTGTTTATTGGATTCGAATCTTGGTGGGCTCTGCCACTTGTGTGTTTGCTTCCCCTCTGGGTCTTAAGTTTTTTCGTCTTAAAACGAAAGGATTGGTCACTCTAGATGGTTCCTGAGGCACCTTAGAGCTCTAGAGCGAACATCTCACGACCGGAATTCCTTGTTCCACCTCTCCCCTCTCCTTCCCTTTCCCCTCATCTCCCCTACCTTCCCCTCCCCTTTCCTCTGTCTCTCTGCAAGGGAGAGGAGCCAATGATTTGGAATGGGATCCACTAATACAGTTCTGCCGAGAGAACATAAATATATCTATTTCCAATCACCTCCTCAACTCCAGGCTTGTTGGGGAGAAACCATCAGTGTGTAATGCTGAATGGAGAAAGGTTGGCCGTGACAAAATCAAACCCAGTGGAGTCTTTCCCACGTGGAGGAAGTGGTGGAGGCCCGCGGGCTGTTATCTGGGATCTACAGAGATAGGAGCACAAGGGATCTGAGTGTTATGGGCTGAGATGCGGGCGCAAGCCCACTCACCCACCCTGTGGATCGCCGTTCCTGCCTGCCTGCACCAGGTGGGACTGAAAACGCCAAGGGCGGCTGCCACAGATGGGAACAAGGACCTGTTTAGGCCCCTTCCCGAGTCTCCTCTCGCCACAGAGTAGGCTGGCGCTCGTGGCACCGTCCACCTGCAGAGCTGGGAGCCGGCAGCTGCAGCCAGAGAGAGCAGCCCCCTGCAGCGGGAACTTTCCCTTCGGCGAGGCGCGGTTAGAACGGGCCTGATTAGCCGGCCCCGCATCTGGGTTCAGGCTGCCCCTGCTCCCTCTCCTCTCCGCGGGGCTGCATGTGTAGCATTAGCTTCCTCGCTGCCCTTGCCTCTCACCATGGTGCGAGCTTTTAGCTTGTTGATTTATGGAACTGTTCTGTGTCAGGTAATTGACCAGCAATATCGTATTTATCATCTAGTCTGTCACAGAATCCGCTTGTTATTCGGCGATTCCAAGGCATTTGTGAAAGGTCCATTGACTTCAAGCAGCAGCAGAAGACGGTCAAGAATGTAAAGCGTCCAAGGTTTTGCCCTTCTAACTTCTGCGGATCGGTATGTTTTCCGTCCCAAAAAAGGGAGGGCGGGGAGATGTATTTAACAGCAGGCTTGGCCTTATATGCAAACAGAATAATAGAAATTGGAGTTCATTCAATTTTGAAACACTGAGAAACGCTGTCCCGCCCGCCCATACACACACACACACACACACACACACACACACACACACAACACACACACACATATATATACACACACACACACACACACATATGTATGTATGTATAAACACACACCCGCCTTTTGGGTTGGTTTGTTTTTTGAGACTAGGTATTTCTAATCTCGCTCAGGCTGGAAGTTCACCGACCGCTCACTATGAATGATTCTACCACTAGCAGGTCGGGGAGCTTTGACCCTATCAATTTGCCCCTCTCTAGGCAGCCTGCTGGACCTCTTCTCCGCTCCCAGGACTCGGCATAATGGTGCCAGATTCAGTGTGGACACCTAATTGGCTTTAAAGCCCACTGCATCTCAGAACACCTGATCTCAAGCATCCCCCAGCTCCAGATGGCCCTGATAGTAGGGATTGTGGGCATGGAAGTAAACTTAATTCTTCATTACTATCTTTAGACCTAAGTTCTACCTTCCAGCCAAACTGGACTACTAATTGTTTGATTAATTGAACAGTCCATCTTCCACTTCTATACATTTGCATTGGCCTGGAATGCATATTACTTCCTCATGACCACCTCCTGGAATCTTTACTTTCCCACAAGCTAAGGTATCATCTTTGAGAAGACTTCCCTGTACAACCCCTGTGTACTTTTACACTGGTGCTTGAAATTCCATAATTAGAGATTCATTTCTTTGGTTCGAGACACTTCATCCCTGTTTAAAATTCAGATATACTTGAGAGATGTGAAACTTATCTTGTCATTTACAACTTGCTTTAACATTTTTTATTGATACCTTAAAAAAAAAACCAATCAATTCCCAATGCACACCTCCCTCATTGAACCTTCTCTTATAGCAACAACAGAAACAACCAAAAGCAAACTAGGTAAGCAAAAATCATGGAAAAACTCCACAAAAAATAGCCCCCCACTCATTACTGATTTTTATGGCCTTTATCCTGAAAGCTAAGTTTTTTAGGTAGAGAAGGGAAGAACAGGAGGATGGTAGGCACCTGAGGGGGCATGAAGGCAGAAAAGGATGGAAAAAAAGAGGAAGCTTGGGACAGGAAAGAACTTCACATTCAACATTTTTGTGCAGGGACCAACCCTGTTGACCAAACATATCCTTAATCTCAAGTGTAATCTTTAAAAACCCCTTGTTTAGTGTTATGCAGCCCTGAGGCTAGCCTTTAGTTACAATGGTTCTGTCTGGCACTAGGCTGTCTCTCCTTCACTTTCCTCTCTCTGCGGTAGGTGAAATAGAAAAGGGAAGGGGGCAGCTAGGTGGCAAAGTGAATAGAGCACCAGCTCTGGAATCAAGAGGAACTGAGTTCAAATCCAGACACTTAATACTTACTTAGCTATGTGGCCCTGGGCAAGTCAATTAACCCCCAATTGCCCCCCCCACACAACAAAAAGAGGGAGAGAGAGAGAGAGAGAGAGAGAGAGAGAGAGAGAGAGAGAGAGAGAGAGAGAGAGAGAGAGAGAGGGAGAGAGGGAGAGAGGGAGAGAGGGAGAGAGGGAGAGAGGGAGAGAGGGAGAGAGAGAGAGAGAGAGAGAGAGAGAGAGAGAGAGAAGGGAGTCTGGGTATTTGGGGGAAAATACAAGTAATTAAAGAAAAACAATCTTTTTATTCCTAGTTTTGGAAACTGTAGAGGACCCTTAGGGTAGGATTCCCTGCTCTCCTTTTTGAGAGGAACAGTGGTGATGTAGACCTGTAATCCTCATGTCTTTTCCTCACCATCATCAACTGTGGTTAGAAATAAGACACATGTGAGTATTTCACATTTACCCAGGGCTGTTTAAATATTTCTGATGAAGTGGGAAGTGCCTATTGCTTGTTTCTAACCTCAGAACAGTACCAAAAATGTCATAAGGAGAACCTTATGCATTTTGGTGTTTTCTGAAAAAACTAGGTCAGGTAGAGAAGGGACATAAATGACTTCATGTTAAAAATATTTATAAAATTTAAGCAATTCAAATGTAGTAAAAAATCATCGAGGATTTTATTTTCCTGTTAGCAATTATGATTCACTGATTGAACAAATGAGGATCATGTGGCCTGAAAAGACATATCAATGGGGGTAAATTGACACACTTTTTAAATTAGTTTGCCTTGATAGCCAAATATTTTACAGCATGACAACCCCCCCCCATTTAAATTGCTCAGTATCATGAGGCTTTGATGACAGAAATAGGGATGAAATCTTATCCCTTCCTATCACATCAGCCACAGATAGGAAGAAGTTTTCCAGTTGCTTTACATTTCTCTTCACATTTATCCCAAACTGGGGGTGAATCTAAGTAACTAGAAAATCCCCAGTAGGTGGAGGTTAGGATGACTTTAAAAATTCGGCTGCAAAATTTGAAAAATGTGATATTAATGTTAATCTTTCAGCTATCTTCTTTTAAGAATGGAAAATGTTCTGACAGAAGCTTGGGAGAGTTTGAGGAGCAATGAATGAATGAAACATTCCTTTGACTGGTAGTGGGCTGTAGAGCCTCTGATCCCATCCTGCCTTCTTTCTGAGGGTCAAGTCCAATACATTCAACCCTCTTTTGTGCTCTTCTGTTTCTCTCTCCTGAGGGTATTTGTTGATACAGCTACATGCCTTGAGGACTGTGCAATTACTTGTTTTTAACAGTAAAGTGCTGTTACAAAATGCTTGGACGTGCAAGAGAGTTGTTTGTACTTTGGACCAAATCATGCTGAGTCAAATACATGAGTACACATCCCATATGGCTCTCTCATTTGACTGCTTCATGGGCTTTTATGGTTATTCTTTTTTTCCTCTCACCAGTCTTAGCTGTAAAATAAGGTTCCCTCCCAACTCTAAATCATATGAAACAACGTACACAGTAAAAAGACCAAAGACCCTCAAGCTTCAGAAGTGGTCATATGAATTATATTCTCAAATTGTCCCTTCTCCTTGAAAGATACCATAAAGAACAGTGTGTCCCCTTGGGAAGGCAATCCCAATTATCAGGACAAGGTAATATTCTTTATCAGAAAAAGCAAAAAAAAAATCATAGTTTCAGGAAATGATGGGGAAAACATTAAAAGACCTAGATAAGAAGTATTCAAAGATTCCTAGGTTTATGTTGTAATTTGGATGCATTTGCCTAATGTCTCCTTTAGTAGAAGAGTGTCTCCCCAGACTGAGCAAAGCACAGCTAGTGGTGATTCACAGCTCTTAGTGTAAACAGTAATTAGAGAGACTTGCTCTTCAGTGATGGATGATGCTGAAACACAAGTTTAAGTTAGGAAGTAAAGATAAAGGTGAAGGAGGAGGGAAAGGATGTAAGTGGATGTGAAGCTAGAAGACTCTCTGCTGACCACAGCTCCTCTGTCCTTGACTTAGAGACATTGAGGGTTCTTCTGTTCTCCTTTTCCCTAATGTTAGAGGCATGCCTGGAGGATAGTCAAGCCAAGGAGTAGGGTGATGGTGGTTTCCACTACTCTGCTGATGATAGTGAAATCATAGCCCAGAGTTCCGAGGATCATTTAAGGCATGAATCAAGCCCAGTGAACCCAGTGAATACCTGGTATGTTAAATGAGATAAGTATTGTACAGAACTTAGCACAGTACCTGGTACGTAGTGAGCATCATATGAATGTTAGCTATTATTACGTAGTATACCCTTAATAAATAATTATTGAATGAAATGGAATTGAGTAATGTGAATGAAATCTGGAAAGATAGCTCCCAGGTGCCATTGAAAGTTTTTTGTTCTTTTGACTAGGCCGTGAGGTTAAGTGACTTGCCCAGGGTCACACAGCTAGTAAGTGTTATGTGTCTGAGGCTGGATTTGAGCTCAGGTCCTCCTGAATCCAGGGCTTGTGCTCTATCCACTGTGCCACCTAGCTGCCCCCATTGAAAGTTTTTAATAGGAGAGAGACATGGTCACATCTGGCCCTTGGGAAGCTGTTTGGAAGAGATTGGAGATTAGAAAGAAGAGAGACTAGAAGTCTGTAGACTAGAAGGGAGGTCGATTAAGTAGCCATCACAATAGGTTCTAGGAGAGGTGATAGGGCATAAACTAGGGTGGAGTGGAAAGATGTTATCTCATGGATGCTTAAATGGGTGCCAATGAAATTATGACCACTTCAGTGAATTCAGTAATGTCTGATCTGTAGTTGCTTTGCCTTTTCAAAGTGTATATAAGGATATGTTTGCTATTTAGGGTTTTTGTAACACAAATGCCAACCTTCCATTGTGTGTATAAACAAATTGAAAATGCTTGGTAGAGAACATATACTGACATTTACATACAGCTCTATTGATAAGTCCCACCTCCCCTCCCCTCTCCACTCTCCACCCCCCCCCCAATGAACTGATCTGAGAACTTAGGCCTCTACAAGCTTGCCAAGGCCTTTTTGTTGTTGCAACCCAGGTCATCAGATGGGTGGAGAACCACTTGAAGACCCCAATCTAAGAATTGGCAGCCCTTCTTCTCCCTTTCCAACCTTCCCTACACTGCTTCTGGCTCCAAATAATATTCTTTAGTAAACCTTGTTAGGACATATAAGTTCTCAGCATGGCCTATTCCTTTCCTTCCTAGGTGTAGTGGTTAGTTTATCACAAAATCATTCCTTTAGATTACTGCTAAATGTGGAAAATGATTCAGCCAGGAGAATCTGCTAAGTTGGTTTTTTTTTTCAATTATTCCTGCAGACCTCAAAATGATGCTAATTCAATTGTCCGCAGAATTTTTATCTTAACCCATGGGAAGCTGTCTAACATTTGGAGCCAACCTTTGTAGTAGTGGAGCTGTCAAACCATTAGGCCTTACTCTCGTCCCTGCTGACCCCTTTAGAACTAGCTGAACAGAGCTCCAAGTCTGCCTGTAAAAAGATGAAGTCAAGATCACCAGGAGGAC